CCATAAATCTCTAAGTTAAGCAATGTCCTCTCTGATCACTGAATAGTTATATGAAACATCTCATGGCTTATTATTTTCTATGATAAACAAAGTCAAAGTAAATGCGGCACCCAGTGAGTATCGAACTCATTAGCAATGTCTTATGAGGTACTTTTTATATTTATTCACAAACAATGGTTTTATTATTAAACTTTGTTCATAAAACACTCAAAGTGTGAAGAATTCACTATCGACGACTTCCGAGTTTGACAAACAAAACCACTGAATTATGACAAATGTTATTGGTAAACAAAAGTAAATACTGGAAGTCACATAAAATGTTTAATGAAATATATCAAACACGTTAACTATCACTTTGTGACAGGCACTTATAGATTATTGTTTAATACATTATAGTTAAACACGAGAAGAGTCTTAGATAAGAAGCAATCGAGCTTACTATCAATGGTCTTGTGAAAATTCTCCTAACTACGAAGATGTGTGTTATAAATTGACTCCTATCAATAAACATTAAACAGGCTTTATTCAATTAAAGTGTACATAGAAGGTAATCGAACAATCCCAGTTCAGCGATTCGTAAGAGTATATTGTGTTTAAAATTACGGCTTCCTGTAAGGGGAAGGGATATTCAAGGCAGGGAAAAAATGGGATATATTTCTTAAAAATAATTAAATGCATGCATGATTGGTTGAAACTCCTGAAATGAGAAAGTTAGAAAGCAGACTATTTGTTAGAATAGCGAATTAATGCCTCATTCACTATCCATTTTTGTGACCTTGTACTAAATTAAGGTTAGCATAATGTACATCTATTGTAGAACGAGAATTTCAAAGATCATTGATTGTAAGTAAATATCTTCTTGTTCAGTTATAGTTAAAACTATGCACATAAATCTAACATCAGAAAACACTGGTCTTCTTATTTTCAGAAGAATATAACTTACACATTGAATATCCGTTCACCAGACAGCATCTCCGTAAATCACATGAAGCGAATGGTTTGGAAGTTATCTGAAATGTCAGTAGTGAGGTCTCATAATAAAACTGACATTTTTTTTATAGCTTGATGTTAGATTCTGTGCATATTACTCTTGACCGAACATAGCGGTATTGACAAACATGCTAGTTGAAGAAGGACTTTTAAAAGGGAATGAACCAATAAATTACAACCTATCTGAAATGTTTTTTTTAAAATGACTCTCTTCATTCAATTAGTATCACTGCTTCTTTACTAAGTCCCATAATTGCTCAACTGAGTTCATGTCAAACAAATTCTAAGCAACAACTTCAATGGTACCATTATTCTGCTTATCAGATACGTGGAATCTGTGAATCATTGCAAATGTTCCTGAAGAAGTGCAACGTGACAGTCACTGGTCAATGATATGTTTAGGCGCACTAGCGCATGTAATCCATACCACATGAACACACCCTACACCATTATGCAACCAGTCTGTAGGGTTCCTTGTTGATAGCGGATTTTTATGGTTTCAGAGAATGTGCTATACTCGAACTCTATAATTAGCCCGGATAAAATGGATTCACCGAATCATACCGGATGTTTTCTATCCTTCATGTTCTTATTAGCAAAGTCACAAGCCCAGTTGAGACGCTGTGTCCTGTTAACAACAGCACACTAGAAGTTCTTTGTTTCCCATATATCACAGAAGATAAAGAACACTGAACTTAACTGTTGGATAGGAATTTGGTATCTCTCGACGTAAACGATTCTAAACAGAGGTCTCTTGTCACGATCACTCGTTGATTACTGCGCTATCCACGGTGAGTGGAAATGTCTTCCATCATTTGTTCCCAGTGCACATATGATATCGTAGATATTGTCACCACAATTTCATAAAAATAATTCAGTTCGTCTTGTCATAAGCAGCCTAACCGATGTTCACACTCCTTCACTTGGTGTCAGAATAGCAAAAAATATAGATCCGGTCATTTTCATGACATGAAAGGCATGGTGGAATTACCAACTATTATCTTTATCTACTTGCTGCTATTTGTAACTTTAGATCATATTATATATCTGATCACTGAATTTAAGTAGCGTTGTATCTAGTTAGATGAGTGACTACTTCAAATCTCTTATAAAGCCCTGTGCCTAACTATGCAAAACCTTGTCAAAAAAGTGAAGATGAATAAAGAAATTGAGTGTAGTGGCAAAATTATATTCTGAAAATGCATAAAACATCAGAATATATTCTATCGAATAAATTTGTATTTTTATCTTAACATTTGGCTAAAGGATAAATCTTTCTTTCTTTCTTTCTTATTATGTTCAGATTTGTCTCTTTAAATCTCCCTTACATCGCCTCTGCTCATCTTGCCATCAGCCCATCTACTTTTTCAGTTCTAACGCCTGAATCCATGATTTAGATCTGCCTAAGCAAATGCAATGCACACTAGACAATCCCAGTTAAAAAAGAGAATACACACTAAACTCCCAGCAGGTTCGACATGTATAAGGCATACATCGTAATATTTAAAAGCATTATCACGTCGAGCGTTTTGAAATACATTGAACTATTAAACGGACTATTAATCTAGGCTTTTACCAAACCCTTTTGCCTGGCTACTACAATAAACGATCCTCCGTGATCTCTTTACTTATTTGGAAAATGGGTTGGGGTAAGAGTGATGCTAAGTGTTCTTTTTACATTATACATGCAGACCATCGTCCAAAACTTTATCAAAGTCAGGAGTGAAAGTTAAATTTCCTTTCGCGCCTATTTTCTTGAGTTGCAAGCAAGCAATACGAAGGTGAGAAGAGTTGTTGGTTGCATGTTGATACAGGAAATTGACGTTGTGTATTTAGGAAGTATTTTTAAAAAGAAAGAAAGAAAGAGGCTAGAGAATTATGGAGGAAAAAAAAGTGGACGTGGTAGAGATAGAGAGAATTTGGAAAGTGTGTGCGTGTGTGTGTGTATTTGTGCGTGTGTGTTTGTGCGTGTGTGTGTGTGTGTGTGAGAGAGAGAGAGAGAGAGAGAGAGAGAGAGAGAGAGAGAGAGATGTGTCTTCCCAACTGAAAAGCGAAAACCAATTTTATCTGCAGTTTTCTAGAACACAATTTCCGCAGCTTTGCAAAGTATAACTTTGTAAAAGATATACTGTTTGGATTTTTTAAAAGTTATAATTTGCGTTTAGCTAGATATCGCGTATAGTCAGTATCTAAGTAGAATTCATTGCTAGTCTGCTCACTAATATTTTATGTCTGTCTTCAGACAAAAAGCAAAACAAACTCATCTGTTGGATTGTGTGTTAATAACGGTCGACAATACTATTTTTAAGGGAAGAAATTTTATTCTTTTGCAAGAGAGCATTTTTGCTATATTTTACCTACATGGTATGAAGAAATCACAAAAGGAGGTTCTTAGTAAAAAATGGTAGGTATTATGCTGTCAAATACAAGCCGTTGCGTTATGACGCTAGAAATGAAATGGTATACACCGAGCAACAGGTACAAAAACTCATTTATGTAAGTTGATGATAAGAGATTATAGTCAATCTAAAAGGAAATACTAATAAAAATTATTTCTAAAATAATGCAAATCAAATGTGCTTGTATTGAACAATATATGGTTATTTTTATCATTTTTATTTCAAAATATCATCTTTAGTTTTAGTTCAGTCTTCCGTGAGAGTGTCGTATAAACTATTTAGTTTGAGTTCATTTCACATTTCTTCTCCATGAAGATTGAAACAAATTTAGCTCAATTGCTGTCTGTTTGGACAAAGCATAATCATTTTGGCTATTTTCATGCAAAGTTCTTGTTGTTGTTGTTTCCTTTCAGGATATAGATGGTCATAACTTCACAATTTCCTGTCCTTTGTAGCTCTTAAGAGATTTTGTTTTTTTTTCTTATCTCTCCTAAACCTTGCTTCGCCATTCATCTTGCTATGTAGGTTATGCGTTTCATTGCTCTGTCTCTCTTGACTTCACTCTGTCCTGTGAATATAAAATTTTCCAAGCCTTATTTTCTCATCATATAACCATTTCCATTTTCTCTAAAATTTGATTGTTGCTCATGTTTTCAGAATTCTTCTGTAGATCCACATTCTTCTGTTGCTTCGAGTCTTTTTTTCGTCTGTGAGAAGATTGTCCAGCATTCACTGCCATATTGGAGGAGTTATATTACATAATAGTTCAGAATTCTCACAGAAGAAAAGTTTTTATTTATAAAGTGTTTTTGAAAATTAGTATGTCTAGACACAGAATTGGACTACAATCTGGAATTCTCACTGTATTATGTTTACTCATTATGATTACTGTAGAAACCCCGAGTTAAGTTGATTGACAAGGAAGATAATTATGTCGAAAAAGAAATATTTACTGTGTAAAATAAATGTTTTGTCACCATTATGCTATGGATTTATTTATGTACCTATGTATCCTTCACCTTTAGAACTTTGAAATTAAAGATATTAGCCTGAATATTTTTTAAGTATAAAAATGCGCCTGCTTTAAAAGTAATTTTAGGAGGGTACAAAAGTTTCAAGGGAAAAGCCGGTTTCAAACTGTCATTTCAATAACTACATTTCTAAAAGTAACAATGAGAATTTTTGCACGCACCTAAAATAATTAAGAGCACTATAAGCTGAATGATTCGAAGAAAGATGAAAAAGAAAAGAAGAAAGGACCAGAAAGTAAACGTAAATTATGAGATTTTTAGAAGACGAGAAGAACGATTACATTATTTCGGAAGTGAAGGAGAATATTCATTGATTTGTTTTCTACGGTTTATCAACCCTTTCCAGGTTATTTAAAGCCAGAAAATATTTTTAGATTATAAGAATTTTGGTTTTGTAGATAATGGTTTAGTGATACAAGTCTTACTAATTAACCCATAGATGCAGGTGAACCGGTGGATTCATAACTTTCCCAAGAGTATTTGTGCGTAAGTGAACATAACGAAGCTAACGGGAATTCGAACTCGGCCCTCCAATTAACAATTCCGAGTTATTATCCATCACGCCACCCGCACATCCAAGCTTACAACACCTGGTATTCTCAAGCAGTCATTCATATAGGTACTGGCCAGGCTCGACGTTGCTTAACTTTAGTAATCGTACGGGAACCGGTACTTCAACGTGATGTGGCCGTAAGCCGTGAAGAAATGAGAGAGAGAGAGAGAGAGAGAGAGAGAGGGATATACAGACAGAGAGAAAGAGAGAGAGAGAGAGTGAAAATGTAAACGAGTCAGTGTTGCCATACAGCAGATATTTTTAACCCATAAATGAATAAAAGTACAAGAAGTTTATCTATCTATCTATCTATCTATCTATCTATCTATCTATCTATCTATCTATACGTTTGTATGTACATATATATATATATATATATATATATATATATATATATATATTTTTGTGTGTATATATATATATATATATATATATATATATATATATATATATATATATATGCATGTATGTGTGCGTACACCCTAGTGTATATTCTGCCATATAAATACGTATATATGAAAATCTTCACGCATATATCTACATATATATCACGATATTTACTAAGCTTGTTATCGTACACTAAAATTCTCAATGGAAGAGAAATGAACTATAAAGGTTGTGTTGTGTCGTGAGAAGGATCCCACGATTGGATATCGGCATTCAAAATAATGACTTTTTATTGGATTCGAATATTGAGCAACACTTTATCCCATAAATATAGCACACCTTAAAACTGTATTCTTTCATATATATATATATATATATATATATATATATATATATATATATATATATATATATATATATATATATATGGGTGGAGAGAGTGAGTATGCATACGTGCGTGCGTAAAAACTTCACATAGAGTATATCTGCAATAGGACAATGTGAATAAAGACAGAAGGAAGCTTAGCCGACATGTTCAGTTCTTTGAGGGACTTTATCAAGGTATATGTAAAGATTTTTATTTTGTAATAAGTATTTATATACAAGAAAAAAGATGTTATTGGTTTGTCAAAATTATTCGGTATAAAAATGCACATGAATATTCATCAGATTTGAATTTGCATCACTTCGTAGCTAAACAAGTAAACAGATTGGCTTCCAAATATAAGGAAACATCGTTCAAATTTTGTCAATGGTTTATTATTGATTTATTGAACGTGCTGCCTACTTAACGCTCATAAAACAACAAGTAAAAATTCATAGTAATTTAACACAAATATTGACGTAGAGTGAAAAATTGTCGAATTTCAAAAGAAAAAGAAAATAGAAAAAAATCATGAGACCAATTTTATAGATCACTGATTTCATTCATTAGTCACCTGAAAATATGCTTATTTTAGGATAAATAAAGAATGACTAATCCTTGTGACTTAATCTCCGAGATGCATATAACTTTAATATAGCTAAGCTGGCAATATCGTAGGAAGTTAAAGAATCTGGCGTTTAGGAATCTGAGATAAAAAAGGTAAAATCATAATTACAAATGACATAAGCCAATCATTAAAACATTTTCGGATTACAATAAATATGAGAAAAATAATATATTTATTACAATATTTGCTGGACTTAAATCCGGATATAATCGATTTATGAGATTAAAATAGACAATAGGAAAAACAACATACACACTCACACACACACATCTATCCATCTATCTATCTATCTATCTATCTATCTATCTATCTATCTATCCACAAAAAGACTGTTTCGCTGTATCACAGATCATCAGTGCGGATAGATATCCAATTGCCTCAAGCCGGAATTTAGCATCAGTCGGAGATTGCTTAGCTATCAGCAATCGGTAGAGAGGAAGGCGCCACTCAGTATTGAGTTCAGTGTCCATTTTTATACTTACATATGCTGTATCCCTGATATTGATCACTTTTACCCATAAATGTAGCATACCTTAAAACTATATTTTTATCATATATACATCTGATGAAGACCAAAATGATGAGGACCAAAATGGACGAAATTATTATCGGATATTTTTTTCGGAACATTATACTTTCATGAATGTTCTTTTTCTAATTGTCATTTAATGTATAATTCTGTCGGGATCATTTGCCCAAATTTATAAAATATTGTCTACAGGGATTCTGAAGGATTTCTATCTCTAAATTCGGACACTTAAAGTAAAGATCATAAAATGTTAAACGACTTTTTTTTTTTTTTAAGTTACCCATTTTCTTACTTTTATATTCACGAGCATATTCAGCTTGGGAAAAATATTTGATCTCATCATTTTAAATAAACATACAGATACACACGTTATTCACTTTTTCGTTTTCGATCTGATAAAGCCGAAAATGGGCGAAATGCCATCCGGATATTTTTCCGAAACATTATAATTTCATCAACGTTTTTTTCAATTGTCATTAATGTATAACTCTGTCAGTTTACAGAAATTTATAGCAGTTATACATGTATGTGTGCGCCTGTGTGTGTGTGTAAAATTTCAGATATATCTAAAAATATATCTGTAAAAAGACAATATGAATAAAGATAAGTTTTATATTTATTCATATATATATATATATATATATATATATAAATAAAAAGAAGGAACAGTAAGATATTCGTTTGAGGATGAAATGGAACTAATGTCTTTAATTTAATTACAAAATTAAATTCGTAGCTTTTAGCTTCCATTTTTGAAACATGGTTAGAACTGTGTAGCGAAAAAAATCATATTTTAAATAAATCAATTTATAATATATATATATGTGTGTGTGTATGTATATATGTATGCATGTATGTATATATATATATATATATATATATATATATATATATATAAATACATGCACACACACATATATATATATGATATAACGAAATAAAATTTTTTGTACAATTTTATCTATCAATAAACAGTATTTAGAAAAATAGTATGACAAATTGGAAATGTTTTTGATTTTAATCCGTTAGGATTTCGCCGTCTTAATGGATTAATTTCTCTTTTAATCAAAGTAGCATTCCCTATGTCAAAATTGTGGTTAGTTTCGTTACGGTGAACAACAAATGCATTTTTCTGTTGTTTTTGTTTAAATGTCTTTTTTGTGTTCATATAGTCTTTTGTTTAAAGTTCTTGAGGTTTCATCCAATCAAATTCTGGCAATTCCTGCACAAAAATATTCCTTTAAAAAATTTTGAAACTACCAGCGTCTCTCGTTTCGTGCGCATGCGTAGATGTGACGACATCAATAAAGTCCAGTCCGATGAAATCCTAACGGTTGAAATACTTCGCAAAAACCTCCAATTTGTCATACTATATATATATATATATTGTTGCGAGGATGCATTTCTATAATAAGAAAGTCTCAATAAGGTTAAAATTTATAGTAAGGGATTCTACTGAGTCCTACCTGTTAAAATAGAGAAATTTGAAATAGAATGTTTGGAAGATTCTAGATCATTCCAGTATATTCGAGAAGAATCTAGATGATTCGAGAAACATCTAGAAATATGCAAATTAGGTGTTAGCCCCTATAAAAATAGGATTTTGGAAAAGGGCTGTCAGTTTGTGAAAACAAATTGCTGTCATTATTTACATTATTCTGACTATTGTCCTCATCTTTGTCGCCATATTTATCACAACGTTTCGGCCGTTGTACGCTCCGGCCCTCTTCAGGTGGTTGGAATTTTGAACTGAACCCTTTATTTCGCTCACTGGGGTAGACTGTTCTAGATCCACGTGCCATGTTTTAATGGATGTCAGTTATCAGTTATCTCCTGCTAATATGGAGCAAGATTGTGAGACGAGATCACCGTTTGATTAGCTGACCTTTTAGATCTTGCTCTCGCTTCTCCAGAACAAGTAGAGTGAAAACTGCCGAGTCCACTAAAACACGTTAATCACCGTTTGATGAGCTGACAATTAGATCTTGCTCTCGCTTCTCCAGAACAAGTAGAGTGAAAACTGCCGAGTCCACTAAAACGCGTTAATCTCCATTCCACACGCTCCAAGCGCTCGAGGGTGTTATGATGTATATTTGTATCTAAGCCATGGGCGTCTTACATTCCTGTAGCCCTGATCTAACTGCCTGTACATTAGTGTTATGGGACCTTACCCATAATAACATAATGGACTATTCTATGCGTAATAAATACTACGCCTCAAGAGGAAGCAGGGAGTTCAGTCTGAAGTCTGGAGTGAAGTCCTTCAGGAGTCTGTCAGTCAGTCAGAGCGAGTCAGTCACTCGAGTCAGAGGCAGTCCGAAACAGAGTCGCGTTCAGACTATTACTACTAAACCTGATTGTTCGTACTAACACTTTTTTACCTCTCTGTATATATTCCTGTTTGTAATATATCTGTGTTATTCCATATCCGTGTTCGAGTTCTTCTTTATTGGTTCTACCTTGGACTATCACCGTGGTACAAGGAACCGGACCATAACAATTAGGATCGTGGGTATCCTGTCATCAGACATTCTCAAGACATGACCAGTCCACCGTAACTGACTGTATGAAAAAAGTCTCGATTCATTCAGTATTACACCGGTTAAGCAGGTCTATGTTAGATGTCCTATCTTGAAGGTTAACTCCACAGATTGCATGCAGCTTTTATGGAAAACATCCAGCTGGCGTATATAGTACCTGTATGGAGTCCACGACTCTGAGACGTACAAAAGAATGGCAAATATAACAGCTCTGTAAACCCGAATTTTCGTATCCAGTCGAATACCACGCTCATTCCACTAGCGATGGCGAAGTTTGCCGAAAGCACTGGTAGCCTTAGCAATCATCATCTAAAGTTCCACTGTAGATGACTTTGCTACCAAGATAGGTGAAAGACTTTACATAGTTCAGGGCTTTGTCTTCTACTTTCAGTGGTCTCTCTTTGTAGACTGGTGGTTTTTGTTTCTCACCACAGAATTACTTCGGAGTAGGACAAGGTTGGTGCACTACTTATGTTTTCTTTATGCTAAGTGGCTTTATATGGAGCAGAGAAACGATTTATTAGATGTTGGGCCTCCTCAAAGGATGTCGCTACTAGAGCATCATCATCAGTAATAATTTGCGTACGAAGGTGCGAAGGTGGGTCTTGGTTTTGAAGCGCTGATGATTAAAGAGTCCACCAGTTGTCCGAGACTGAAACTTGACTCCGCTCTCTGTGTTTGCGAATGCATATT